TGGACTAACGACGAGCTCAACGCCATTGCAAAAGATTCCAAAACCACCGAATGAAAGATAAGTATGCGATTGTTCGTAATTACGTCGAACGATGGGTATCTTGACAGAAACACAAATGCTACCTCCAGAAGAATGCACACCACGGCTACATTACCGCACACTTCTCCTTATACACCTCTCCATACTGATCTACGCCTGCCATATACTCGTTGTATTTTTGCTTATTCTTGACCTCTTCTGGGAACCATTTCTTCAGATAGGCGGCAAGCTCGACATCTAGGTTGTCTATCATAAAATTAGCGTCAAGCTATTGTGACAAACGAATAGATGTTGCTCACCAGAACAAGCCTCCTCCACCGTCTTCTCTCTACAAAGAGGGCAGACATGCTGCTTATTCGTCTGCATGATGATCAAGCATCTTATGCAGAAAGTATGCCCGCAGCGAAGTTTTACGGGTCGCCACTTAATCTCCATGCACATCGGGCACGCATAGTCGTCTACTTGCGGGACGTGCGACAGGATCTGGTTGTTGACTTCTGCACACACGGCTTTCGCAAGGTGCTCCGAGAACTCAGGGTACTCGATCTGCTTTGGGAAAGTCTGCTTGACGCCTAGTGCGGTCTGCTTGTCGAATTTCTTTAAGATCTTGAGCATAGCAGTATGGTTCATCTCGCCAAAACGCAGTCCTTGCAAGATTTCGCGGTTGATGTGCATGAACGTGTTTAAAGCTTGTACGCTTTCGGGCTTTTTCAGCTTCTCCGCAAGCCCTTCTTGCGCAATTTTGTTCGCGAACTCCTGGAATCTCAGCGTCGCCTTGCTCGCATCATGTGAGGCGTGGTCTTGCTCCGTGTGTCCAAAGAAGATGTCGCTCTCGATGTAGAGCTGGAAGATCTGCCGCCACACTCCTATCAGTTTCCTGTTTGCGCGCTTGTCTGGGTTGGTGAGGTGGGCAATCTGTTTTCCCAAGTTATCGATCTCAGCGTGCATGCGCTTCTCCTCTTTCTCCTGCAGCTCTTCCAGCCCCGACAACTCCTTGGCGAGAGTTGCGAAAAACTCAGAGTCTGAGGTCAGAGGTACTTCGACAGTACGATAGCCTAGCCGATCGCTGTTCTTACGGTTCAAAGGTGGGGTGACCGTTTCCTCCGTATCTTCTACTGGCTTTGCATCATCGGGTTCCTCGAAGACGCGAAGATCAGATATGCCAGTCTCGACCGCGAGTGTCTGAAGATTCCGTCGTGTTTCCTCGTCCAGCCTCGCGTTGAGGACTTCTCCAGTTGTCTCATTAACATAGAATAATAGCTTAGGTACGAATCGCTTCCTCTTCTTCTTAGTCGACCCTTTGCCTCCCCCTTCTATTTCCGGGCTGTCGGGTTCTCGAAGAACATATTCGAAAGGCCGATCTTCCGCTGCCGCAGCGTCCGCTGAGGCATTCTGTAGCTCTACATGCTTGAGCAGTTTGCTCAGCGTCGCCGCATCGAGACCAACACCCTCAAGCTCCTGCGTGAGTCTGTTGATGCACTTCTTGAGCTGTGAATATGATATGGCAGAATCGACCCAATCGGGTGGGAAGCCCTCGCTCTTTAGCTGCTCCTTAAAAACGTGACCGAACTTCATGGTTGCTCGGGCCTGTTGGTAGTGCAGAATTTGCACGTGGGCTGTCTATTGGGTACCGGTGGCGGCCGGATATTCCTGGGGACGCTGATCAGCCTTGCGGTGGGTGATGAGCTTGTTTCTTCGCTTCAGGGATCCCCCCAGGGTAATGGTATCGTCACTGTATCGATGTCGATTTCTTCTGAAGATGGACAGGCTACCTGCCAAGAGGCTCATCCAGGGTGGAATGCTGAGCAATCCAGGGTGTTTGACCGCCGTCTGGTGAAGAAGACCATGGAAGAGTTTGCCACTAGTCGGAGCTCGAAAAGATCTTGTTCGGCAGGGGTAGGCAGCGTGAATCCGGGGTCCAGTGGGGTCCTTCACCGGCGTTCATGAACATGAAGAAAAAGAAAGGCATAGCGCTACTTTTGTATCGCGCTCACATTATCGACTGTGGCTAAGGCGTCGAGGCGTAAAAGCAAGCGCGGTCACAAGTTCCCTACGACTCACAAAGATGCTGTTCTTAGATCTCTCTAGATTTTCTGGCGTCCTCGCTTTCCAACCAATCAGCGCACAGTGAACAGTCACTCCGTTGTTTGTCGCCATTTGCAGGTGCGACGCGCAAACTCTTCGGCGCGCAAGCACCTTCTAGACGCGACCAGTTAATCTGCGCGCGGATGATAACGCCTCGACCCTATCGCGAGACCGGCTAGAAGATGGGTGCCGGCCAGTCGTCGGGTGGCTCTACGAATGCTGCTGCGACGGGCGCCGAGGTCAAGACAAGTTACTACGAGCTGCTGGGGCTTGAGAGAACCGCCACCGAGGATGAGTATGTCTGTTTGTACACAATCCCTCTAATCGGCGATCTGATCGTGTTGTAGCATCAAGAAAGCATACCGTAGAAAGGCTCTCGAACTCCACCCCGACCGCAACTACGGCGACGTTGAACGCGCAACTGCCCTCTTCGCCGAAATTCAGACTGCCTATCAAGTCCTATCCGACCCGCAGGAACGAGCTTGGTACGATGCGCACGAGGGCGACATACTACGGGGCGGTGATGGCGGAGGGGAGGATCACTTTGAGCATAACATGAAGGTCACGACTGCCAGCGACATCGCACGGATGATGGGCAAGTTCAGAAGCAATGTAGAGTTCTCAGACTCGCCGACGGGCTTCTATGGCTTCTTAAGGGAGCTGTTCGAGACTTTGGCGAAGGAGGAGGAGTACGCTGCGGACTGGGAGAACGTAGATGTGCCCAACTACCCCACGTTTGGTCACAAGGACGACACGTACGAGGATGTTGTGCGCACCTTCTACGCTGGGTGGAGCGGGTTTGCGACGAGGAAGACGTTTGCTTGGAAGGACAAATACAGGGTGTCGGAGGCACCAGATCGTCGCGTGCGCAGGCTGATAGAGAAGGAGAACAAGCGGTTTAGAGATGAAGGGATACGGGAGTTTAACGATGCTGTCAGGGATCTGGTCCTGTTCGTCCGAAAGCGAGATCCACGATATACCCCAAACACGCAAACGGAGGAAGATCGAGCGAAGGCACAGCGAGCTGCCAACAAGGCCCAGGCGCAACGCGCAAGAGCTGCACAGGCCGCTAAGCTGCAGGAGGCTGCTGTGCCAGCATGGGCGACTGCAAGGGATGCAGAAGAGCTGGAGGAGGAAGAGGAAGAGATTGAGGAAGAGCACTTCGAGTGCGTGGCGTGTCATAAAACCTTCAAAAGCGAGAAGCAATGGGAGGCGCACGAGAAGAGCAAGAAACACCAGAAAGCTGTGTCGGCACTTAAAAGGAAGATGCGAAAGGAGAACGCACATCTAGACCTGGACGACGACGCACCGAGCAGCGGAGCCTTCACACCAATTGACGATCCTGGGGCGAGCGATGCAGACTACGCGAGCGGCTTAGAAGGTTCAGTTGATGACATCGCCAATGAGGTCAAGGGCATGGAGGTCGAAGACGACATCTCAGATGCAGACGAGCAAGTTGAGGGGGATGTTAGACAACCGGCTAGGAAGGACGAACAATCTGAGAATGAACAATCTGATGGGAAGGTCGAGCACGCCTTGACCCCAGAGACTGCCTCTGGCACTGAATCCGACGACGAGTACGCCTCACGATCAGACATCGAAGCACGTCTAGCAGCTTTTCGCACAAACACCGAACCTGCGACCGTCATCGACGACCCTCTGAACGATCTCGACTCTACTACGAACGACGCGCCCGCAGAAGCCAAGCTCGGCAAGGCTGCGCAGAAACGAGCGAAGAAGGCCGCGAAGGCAGCCGAGCAGAGTAATACGGACCTACCGCATAAGTGCGCCAGGTGTGGCAGCGGCTTCCCATCAAAGACGCAGCTGTTCCAGCACATCAAGGATCTTGATCATGCGGCGCCTGTCTCTGAGACCAAAGGCAAGGGCGGCGGTGGAGGAAAGAAGAAGGGGAAGAAGTAAACTTTCCACGATACCGATTTAGATGAGCTCACGATGGTTACGATTGACGCCTAGCATGGTGTTGTTGAATAAATTATTGCATAGCACAGGCGCTCAGCATTGCAGGAAGAGTTGCATACGCGATAGACTTAGAAAAGTGATGCGCAGGTTTTTTTATCCTGCACAATATATTGAAGCCATCTAGCCTCGTGAATGCAAACTCTAGACCTACAAGAAGCCTGCGATGTGTCGCTGACGAAGAGTCACACCACTGCTCTATGCAGAAACAAGATGCCAATATTTGATCCATATATTCGTAGTATTCGATAGCAAGCTACGCATTCCCAAGGGTGACTTCTTTTTTACTGTTTTGGCGACCTTTACCCCATAACGTGAACCCTCGTAGAACAGCGACCTGAAGGATGCGAAGAACTCACAGTAGCTACAACACTTCCGCAAAGAGGTCTAAGGAGGGAAAGCACGAAGCCACTCAGCCTTGATGAAGTTGTTTTCCAGAAAGGCTGCTGCACATAACTTGATAGCAGAGTGCAGGTGGTAGTGGTAGACAGCGTCTTCCTAGCCGACGATGGCTCGATACCAATAATTTCACAGCACCAACACGACTATCGCGAAGCTTTCTAGATCTAAAAATAAGATGAAGCTATCTAGTCTTAATTTTCCTATTCAAAGTTTTATGAAAAATAGTGTTCCTGTATCGAGGGTCGACTCTCACAAGCAGCCATCTCAGCACACCAAACCCACCCAGCAACACCACCACCACCACCACCCCAACCCTCCCCCATCATCCAAAAACCCCCAAACCCTCGCAGCCTTACCGTAGCTCCTCCATCCCAAAAACAACAACCACGTTCAATTCAAAACTCATCATTCTTCCCTCTACAGCTCCCCACTGCTCTCCACTGCTCCTCACTGCACCACCAACCCTCCCCAGGTCGCCAAACAGGCAAAAAAGAAGTCTCTCCCTCGGGGAATCGAACCCCGGTCTCCCGCGCTTCTCACTCTGGAGTGAATGACAAGCGGAAATCATGACCACTAGACCAAGGAAGATGGATCTGCCGGTTTGAGGGCAGCTTGGTTTGTTTGATGGGAAAATGTATGTTTGTAAGTAATATATACATGATAAAAAAATGGAGGAAGATGCCGGAATTGAGGAGAGGCAAAGGTTTGATTCGTGTGTGGAACGGAATGGGTGGGGCCAGTGGATGGGCGCGTCAGCTGTGCCGGAACTGGGGTGTTGTAGCCGATGGAACACGGATTTTGTGGGGCGAGATGATTCGTTGGTTCAGTGGTATCTAGGGCTTGCGGAATGTCCAACACAATTACGATCTAGAGTACATTTTTTGGTATGTCTTCTTGGTCTTAGCGCTAATTTGGTATTTGCCAGCTTAGCAGCACGCACCATGTAATAAGAGGTTCTCGCAAGTCTCGTCTTGAGATATCAGTGCGAAATTGGTTTGTGGGAAACAACAGCACTCCATGACTTGACATGCTCTGTATGAGCTATCTACGAAAATTTGAACATTGCATACGCTAGTATTGCATGAATTGCATGTCATCCGCCACCTCCAAATGATGCTTTTGTTCCAGCAATCGATAACACTTCGGTCGCATCTAATTCCAGTTCAACTTTCTCCTCGTATAGACTTCATTGACTATTTACAGTACACGATGCTCACCATCAAAGCATGGCATCGCGCCAAGATAAGGGTATCGCTTCTTCCAAAGACCATGCCAAGTTTCCATGGCACGTCCCAGGCCTTCCAACTCCTACGCACTAAACCTGCGCGGCAACACAGCAGCCTTCACAGCACCCGCCGCCGTCGTATTCCCAGCACTAGCATCCGCCATCTGGAACGCAACAACGCCTCCAAAAGGCCCAGCTTTATTCGAATTCGCAATCTTCATGAAGCAGACATTAGACTGGCCAGCGACGGTGCCAGAGCAGGTGGTGCCGGCAGGGACGGCGATCTGGATGGGGAAGTCCATGTTCACGTTTGCGGCGCGCTTGGTGAGCAGGGACATCATGCGTGGGACGACGCCGTTGGCTTTGATGTTGCCTTTGTTGCCGGGGACGTCCGTCATGATGTTTGCTTGCACGCCTGAGGCGAAGTTGCCGGTCGCGGTGGGATCGATCATTGCTGAGACGGGGCCGGCTCCATCCTGTTCCAGTTAGCATTCATACAGCAAGGTAGTCCTTGGTGAGAACTTACAGTAGTTACGATATGGAAGGTTCCAGAGATGGAGCCACCACTCGCGCTGACTTGTGGCAGGGTGTCTCCAGACAGCTGCATTGCGGCTGCTAGATCGGCTGCCTTGTTTTTCCCTCCGCCTTTTGTCTTGCCTAGACCATCTGTGGCGATGTCGGTCTTACGGAAGACGGTGGTGTCGACTTCAGTGACCTTGTTGCGTCCAGTACCCGGTACGACGCCTCCTTGAATGCCAAGTGCAGTCCCATTGCCACCAGCATCACCAGTCACGACTTGTACATTGCCGTGTGCAGAAACGAAGGTGGTTGCTACTAGAGCTGTGAAGATAAGAGACGAGAAGGAAGGCATGTTGAGACTGGTATGAGAATAGAAGATGTAAAGATTGTGGATTAGAATTGGAAGACAATAAAGTCACGAATCAATCGGACCGTCGATATGAAAGAAAGCTGGAGAAGGTATGAAGATGAAGACCGATGCTGAATGAAAAATCTCTTGACGCCGCGAAGTCACACAGCTTTATACATATCTTCTCCCTCCCAAATGCCGCTCACGAGCATCCAGTAAGCCCGACTTTCCCGTTAGCCTCAACATCAGACATCATCGTGGAAACTACCAAACATACACAAACAGGCGCCTTAGGAGTGTCTCGTTTCAAGCAGAGCCTAAGACACCAAGGTGCGGCAGCAAGGCTCCAGTTGCTTGTCGCCATTCGATGTACGGCCGTCGCGACATGCCGCGGAAGAGCTAAGCTTCTACAAGCTTTCCCTCCTGGGCGCTTCATACAATTCTGGTGATAGAGGTGTCGAGTTGCCTCAGTCATGTTGTGTGAGCGGCTGCGTGAAACGGTCTTGTTCCATGTTTGTGCCTAGGGCAAGAGGTAGTGTGCGCAGTGTCTCGTTTGGGGTTGAGGCTCTACAGCGCGCGAAGGAAATGTTGCAAGGTACTAAGTGTAGACTAGCTGCGCCCTCGATGTCGTTGAGGCGTTGCGATGCTGTCCAGTGAAGATGCAAAGTCGGTGGAAGAGCCTCAAACCTCTCGATCAGCTTCAGCCCGCTAGCCCAATCCATCCTAGTCCCATCCGCATCTAGCAAGTGCAACCCCGTTTCATTTTAGCATCTTTCTTCTAAACACTCCCCCTAAATACCCATCCAAACCCGCACAACAAACACCAACCTATCAACAAATCTCCCGCGTTCTATTTCATGCGTTTCTGCCTCCGATGCCATCCCTGCTAAGGGCGCGTATCTGTCCGTGTTCGCGCGATGAAACACCGATACCCGAGACGCGGCGGCTATGCGACTCACCCATCCATCATCGGCACTACTAGGATGACTAGTTTCGTTTTGTCCTCAGGCTCATTCATCACTCATCTCCTATTCTCTTCTCTGCTTATTGGCATGTGTAAACAGTGGTACCTTGCGCCGATCCCGCGCCGGCGCCCGCGACTACTGGGGCTTGAAACCTTCTTCTGATGTCTCGCGAAGCATCAACTCCATCCACGGAGCCTGAGGTGTACCGTGAGGTTAATGGCCAATGTCTACGGCAATTGTATCCGGTGTCATGTTTCAACAGCACGAAGACGTCGGACGCAGAAGACGTTGCCGATATCTAACAGCTGTCAGTGTTCAGAGAACCTGTATCTGTATACTAAGAGATGCCAAAGGGCAACGACAACAACGGCATGGACTGACAACAGGCAAGGAATCGCACAGCTGCATCGCACACCAGTTCAGCAAACGCGTTCAATTAAGTTTCAGTCAACGTCACGACCTCTTGATATCTAAACTTAGCAAAATACCTTCGCACGTCAACTTCAAGACGCACACGTTTCATACCCACCGCATGCTCGCCATCTTCAGAAGCCTGCTCGTACAACCACGTTTCTGACACACTCCGCACTCTAAAAGCGTGTTTAGATCGGACGACTGCATACGTGACCTCGGTGTAGCTCAGCAGACTACCACTCCTACACTGGTCGCACAAGTTCCCAGTATGATCGGCGCCTCACCACCTTAGGCTTGTTTAATGCCTCTTGCAGAAGGTCTCCTCCTAGGGAAACAATCACGTAACAACCCTATTCTAGAGCTCAGGGGGCATTGTCAACCTCACGATACGGCGCATTAGGAAAGAGAGCCGTGTCCCAGATCATGGAAAATGTTCAATTACTAATTAGGTCGGTGAAGAGAGGAGAAGAGAGAAAACCCGTTTCTAGTCGTAATCGTAAACATCATTCAACCCGTTTTCACCGTCCCCTCATTCAGTATCATCATTCCAGCTCATGATCTGCCTCACAGTCCCTATGAAACTAGGCCACGCCGTCCAGGACTCCGCACGCTATGAAGCATTACGTTTCGCCGCCGCCTCAGCCGTCGCCTTGAGAGCCTCGGGGGCATCATCCCACGGCATGACCAGCTCGACGAAGCGCATCTTCTGGGTATCGCCGCTCGCAAACTCCTCGTTGTGGAAAAGCTCGTCGACGTCTTTCTTCGACTCGACGCGGTAGGTGAGCACGCTGCCTTTTTCTGCGCCGAAAGCTGCGGGGAGGTCTTTGTACTTCCACTCCTGCACGTCGTTGTAGCTGTCTTGCCAGCCGTGGATGTAGCGCTCGATTGTGTAGCCGTTGTTGCAGATGATGAAGATGATAGGATTCAGCTTGTTCCTGATCATTGTTGAGACCTCTTGAGCAGTAAGCTGGAAGGATCCGTCGCCTGTGAAGAGGATCGTCCGCTTGAGGCCTTTCTCCTTTGCAGCGAGGGCAGCACCTTGACACGAGCCAGTCGCGTAGCCGATACTGCCCCAGAGTACTTGCGATACAGCAGTTACGTTGGCTGGGAAGCGTGTCTCCCAGATACCGAAGTTGGCTGTGCCCGTCTCTGTGATGACGACGTCGCCTTCTTTGAGGAACTGGCCTACCCGAGGCCAGAACCAGGCTTGTGTGATGGTTGGCTCAGGCGATTTGATCTCTTGCTCTGGGATCTTGTTGTTTGGTGTCGGACCTGACTGTATGTTTAGCTTGCCTAGCTTTTGCGTGACCTTCTTCAAGACCCCGTTCATGCGCACGCCTGGATATTCCGAGTATCGTACGCGCGTGGTGTAGGAGTGGAAATCGATCGTATTGAGCTGCGAGACGCGATATGTGAAGCCTGCGGTGTTGAAATCTGACTTGATGGCACCAATGCTGATGACGAGATCGGAGGACTCGACGCGCTCGCGAACGCCTTTGTTGCTGCCATCGCCTGCGTATACTCCGCCGTAATTAGGCAATGTCTCGTCGACAGCGCCTTTGCCCATTGGAGCAACAAATACAGGTATTCCTGTCTTCTCGATGAACTCGTGGGTCTCTTCCAAAGCGCGATGTCGGATAGCGCAGGCATCGACGAGGATGACGGGATTCTTTGCGGCGGTCAGGTACTTCAGAACGACATCGACGACGTAGTCCTCCTTGTCTGGATCATTCGGCGGGAAGCTCAGATCAAGTGGCGTCTTGAGTCGGTCCCCATCGATCTTCTTCTGGACTATGTCTGTCGGCAACGAGATGTAGACGGGTCTGGACTCGAGCCAGCATTCTCGAATCGCGTTGTCGATCAATGTTGCTGCTTCGTGCTGGTGGTTGAGTAGCGAGACAGCGCACGAAATCTGGCTCGACATCCTCGAGAACACATTGAAATCGCCATTGCCGAGTGTGTGATGCAAGAGCATGCCATCCTTCTGCGAAGCCGTGGACGGGTAACCGACGATGTGGACGATCGGCACGTATTCCGAGTATGCGCCTGCGATAGCATTGACGGTAGAGAGCTCGCCCACTCCGAATGTCGTGACTATCGCCGAGATGCCCTTGAC